CCTTTCCCAGACACACACACGTACTCACCCTCACCACCCACCCCTCCCAGACACACACGTACTCACACTCACCACCCCTCCCAGACACACACGTACTCACACCCACCACCCACCACTCCCAGACACACACACGTACTCGCACTCACCACCCACCCCTCCCAGACACACACACGTACTCACACCCACCATCCACCACTCCCAGACACACACACGTACTCGCACTCACCACCCACCCCTCCCAGACACACACGTACTCACACTCACCACCCACCACTCCCAGACACACACACGTACTCGCACTCACCACCCACCCCTCCCAGACACACACGTACTCACACTCACCACCCACCACTCCCAGACACACACACGTACTCGCACTCACACCCACCCCTCCCAGACACACACACGTACTCACACCCACCACCCACCACTCCCAGACACACACACGTACTCGCACTCACCACCCACCCCTCCCAGACACACACGTACTCACACTCACCACCCACCACTCCCAGACACACACACGTACTCACACTCACCACCCACCCCTCCCAGACACACACGTACTCGCACTCACCACCCACCACTCCCAGACACACACACGTACTCACACTCACCACCCACCACTCCCAGACACACACACTACTCACTCACCACCCACCCACCCCAGACACACACACGTACTCACACTCACCACCCACCCACCCCTCCCAGACACACACACGTACTCACACTCACCACCCACCCCTCCCAGATACACACGTACTCACACCCACCACCCACCCCTCCCACACACGTACTCACACTCACACCCACCCCTCCCAGACACACACACGTACTCACACTCACCACCCACTCACCCCAGATACAAAGACAAAGATAAAGATCCCCCGTATAGCCTTAACAGATTGTAGGGGCAAGTGCTGTTAGCGAGCACCTATGAAGGCCGGAACGGTACACGAGGGGGTGGGTGGCCAGCACCACGCCCGACCGCCTTTGTCTCCCCAGTGGCGATGTTTACACACCGCACCAGGTACTCATTTAAGGCTGAGTTGACCTAGGGGAGGCCCAGGACCGGTTCAGATAATCGTCACTGGTGTTAGCCGTGAGCGGGAATCGAACCCGGGTCGCCTTGTTCATAGCGCAGCGCGCTAACCGCTACACCACCGCTCCCCACACCCCAGATACACACACGTACTCACACTCACCCACCCCAGACACACACACACGTACTTACACTCACACCCACCCCTCCCACACACGTACTCACACTCACACCCACCCCCACGTACTCAGACTCACCACCCACCCACCCCAGACACACACACGTACTCACACCCACCACCCACCCCAGACACGTACTCACACTCACCACCCACCACTCCCCCATGTGTGTCTGCGGATCTTAGCTGGCTGGGCCTCTGTGCGCTGGCAGCCCTTGGCCGCCTTCCGCGGCAACGCGAGCAACCCAATCCCGCGATAGCGCCCAGACGCTTGCTGCAGGAGTTAATCCTCAAGGCACCCCACACGTGTCAGTGCGCGTGTCAGTGCGTGTGTGAGTGCGCATGGGTGCGTGTGTCAGTGCGCGTGACAGCGTGTGGGTGCGTGTGTCGGTGTGTGTGAGTGCGCGTGTCGGTGCGCGTGTCAGTGTGCGTGTCAGTGTGCGTGTCAGTGCGCGTGTCAGTGCGCGTGTCAGTGCGCGTGTCAGTGCGCGTGTCAGTGCGCGTGTCAGTGCGCGTGTCAGTGCGCGTGTCAGTGCGCGTGTCAGTGCGCGTGTCAGTGCGCGTGTCAGTGCGCGTGTCAGTGCGCGTGTCAGTGCGCGTGTCAGTGCGCGTGTCGGTGCGCGTGTCGGTGCGTGTCCGTGCAACACACGGAGGCTTTCGCGACGAATCGTATTGGTCGCGAAGGTTTTTGGGGTTAGGCCGCGTAAAATGTAAATGTTGTCGTTAAGCCATCACCACCACCCGACCACAGCCAGTTCGTGAGGTTTGTCACGTGAATAAGTGCGTGTTGGTGCATGTGGGGGGGGAGCGGGAGTGGTAACGGTTGGCGCGCTGCGCTCGCCGCCACTACCACCAGTGGCGATTGTGTGAAGCGGTCCTGGGCCTCCTCCCCATAGGTCAACTAAATGAGTACCTGGTGCTAGGGGAGACAAAGGCGGCCGGGCGTGGTGCTGGCCACCCCACCCTCTCGTGTGCCGTGCCAGCCTTGATAGAGTCTGTTAATGCCGTACGGGAGATCTTTGTCTTTGGTACAGACTCCCAAAATGAGCTTGGTCCAGCTCGAATGTTGTTTTGGGCATGCCGTGTGCCGCGCTGGAAGTTCCCCGTGCCAGGGGGCAGGGGGCAGGTGTTGTCATTGTACAACCGCGACGACGTTGGGTGCCTCCTCGGTTGAACTTGAGGAATTTTATTTTGCCCCTGTCTGGTTTGAGCTAAAATAAAACGACAAACTATTTCACCAGGTAAGGCCCCTCTGAGCTGTGTAGCTCTTGTCAGAAGCCTTGACCTGACCATCGAAATGACAGCAGCTCAACGAAGTGGCTTGTCGTCTTGCAGCATTGTGTGGCAATGAATAGCAGCAGCCAAATGCTCTATAAACGCATCGAGACCCACATACAGACGCGCGTACGGACGCACAGAGGGACGCACGTAGGGACACACAGAGGGACGCACAGAGGGACACACAGAGGGACACGCAGAGGGACGCACGTAGGGACACACACACAGAGGGACACACACACAGAGGGACACACACACAGAGGGACACACACACAGAGGGACACACACACAGAGGGACACACACAGAGGGACACACACACAGAGGGACACACACACAGAGGGACACACACACAGAGGGACACACACACAGAGGGACACACACACAGAGGGACACACACACAGAGGGACACACACACAGAGGGACGGACACACACACAGAGGGACGGACACACACAGAGGGACGCGCACACACAGAGGGACGCGCACACACAGAGGGACGCGCACACACAGAGGGACGCGCACACACAGAGGGACGCGCACACACAGAGGGACGCGCACACACAGAGGGACGCGCACACACAGAGGGACGCGCACACACAGAGGGACGCGCACACACAGAGGGACGCGCACACACAGAGGGACGCGCACACACAGAGGGACGCGCACACACAGAGGGACGCGCACACACAGAGGGACGCGCACACACAGAGGGACGCGCACACACAGAGGGACGCGCACACACAGAGGGACGCGCACACACAGAGGGACGCGCACACACAGAGGGACGCGCACACACAGAGGGACGCGCACACACAGAGGGACGCGCACACACAGAGGGACGCGCACACACAGAGGGACGCGCACACACAGAGGGACACACACACACAGAGGGACACACACACAGGGACACACATACACACGCAGACCCATACAGACTAAACTAAACTATATATTTTTTTACCAGCTAAGGCCCCACTGAGCTGTGTAGGTGTTTGTTCAGACGCGACCCGGCCATCACAAACGATAGCTCATCGTGGTGGCCGATCATCATCATCGTCGTCGCGTGGAAATGTACAGCAGCGGCCAAATAAGCTAAACCCGGAGGAAAATCGACATGGCCATGTGGAGCGAGACATGCAAATCCAAATAAACAGGTGTCGGGGTCGGGGCTGAACTCACGGACCTCCTGTATACCAGGGGAGGTAGAGTTTTAACATCTCCGAATGTAGGAATGTTGAACTTCTTTCGTACCATACGTAGCCAACCGCGTTAATCGGAGTGGAAGGACAACGAACTAAACACGACCCTAAAGAAATACGTCTTCAATCTGGACGATGATTTAAAAGTGTAACAGCTCCCAGCGGCTTCCGAATATCGAAAGGAAGAGCGTTCCAGACGGCCGCAGAAGCTCGTCTAAAAGCGCTGCGCGATATGTTGTGTGAGTCTGTGGGTCTCTGTGTTATGATTATATGGCTGTGTGGTGAGTCTGTGGGTCTGTGTGGTGAGTCTCTGTGGGTCTCTGTGTGGTGAGTCTATGGGTCTCTGTGTTATGATTATATGGCTGTGTGGTGAGTGTGTTTGTGTGGTGAGTCTGTGGGTCTCTGTGTTGTGAGTCTGTGGGTCTCTGTGTGGTGAGTCTATGGGTCTCTGTGTTATGATTATATGGCTGTGTGGTGAGTGTGTTTGTGTGGTGAGTCTGTGGGTCTCTGTGTTGTGAGTCTGTGGGTCTCTGTGTTATGATTATATGGCTGTGTGGTGAGTCTGTGGGTCTCTATGTGATGAGTCTGTGGGTCTGTGTGGTGAGTCTCTGTGGGTCTCTGTGTGGTGAGTCTGTGGGTCTCTGTGTGGTGAGTCTGTGGGTCTGTGTGGTGAGTCTATGGGTCTCTGTGTTATGATTATATGGCTGTGTGGTGAGTGTTTGTGTGGTGAGTCTGTGGGTCTCTGTGTTGTGAGTCTGTGGGTCTGTGTGGTGAGTCTATGGGTCTCTGTGTTATGATTATATGGCTGTGTGGTGAGTGTTTGTGTGGTGAGTCTGTGGGTCTCTGTGTTGTGAGTCTGTGGGTCTCTGTGTGGTGAGTCTATGGGTCTCTGTGTTATGATTATATGGCTGTGTGGTGAGTGTGTTTGTGTGGTGAGTCTGTGGGTCTCTGTGTTGTGAGTCTGTGGGTCTCTGTGTTATGATTATATGGCTGTGTGGTGAGTCTGTGGGTCTCTATGTGATGAGTCTGTGGGTCTGTGTGGCGAGTCTGTGGGTCTCTGTGTGGTGAGTCTGTGGGTCTCTGTGTGTATGTTGAACTTCTTTTGCACCCTACGTAGCCAACCGAGAGGGGAGTCATTGCCCAAAGTGTCGCCTATCGAATGAAAATGTTTTTTTATTAAACTCGCGCTGTATTGAAGAGTGGTATTAACTCGTGATGGTGTTTGTCTGGTGTGTGTGGTGTGTGTGGTGTGTGTGGGTCTCTCCTCCCCCCACCCCCCCCCCTGGGTTGCCGTCTGCAGACCCCATGCCGGAGTTCCCGGCCGCCAGCCCCCCCAGTTTCCCGAGCATCATGGGTGGCCTGCGCCTGACGCAGAGCCCCCGCGCCCGCAAGACGCGCTCGGAGCAGCAGGTGCCGCTCGGGGAAGAAGCCGGTGAGTGGTACCAGCGCCCCTACCAGCCCCTACCAGCTCCTACCTACCAGCCCCTACCAGCTCCTACCAGCTCCTACCAGCCCCTACCAGCTCCTACCTACCAGCCCCTACCTACCAGCCCCTACCTACCAGCCCCTACCAGCCCCTACCTACCAGCCCCTACCTACCAGCCCCTACCAGCCCCTACCAGCTCCTTCCAGCTCCTACCAGCCCCTACCTTCCAGCTCCTACCAGCCCCTACCTACCAGCCCCTACCAGCTCCTACCAGCTCCTACCAGCTCCTACCTACCAGCCCCTACCAGCTCCTACCAGCTCCTACCAGCCCCTACCTACCAGCTCCTACCAGCTCCTACCTACCAGCCCCTACCAGCCCCTACCAGCTCCTACCAGCCCCTACCTACCAGCTCCTACCAGCTCCTACCTACCAGCCCCTACCAGCTCCTACCAGCTCCTACCAGCCCCTACCTACCAGCTCCTACCAGCCCCTACCAGCCCCTACCAGCCCCTACCAGCTCCTACCAGCTCCTACCAGCTCCTACCTACCAGCTCCTACCAGCCCCTACCAGCCCCTACCAGCCCCTACCAGCTCCTACCAGCCCCTACCAGCCCCTACCAGCCCCTACCAGCTCCTACCAGCCCCTACCAGCCCCTACCAGCCCCTACCAGCTCCTACCAGCTCCTGCCTACCAGCCCCTACCAGCCCCTACCAGCCCCTACCAGCCCCTACCAGCCCCTACCAGCCCCTACCAGCCCCTACCAGCCCCTACCAGCTCCTACCTACCAGCCCCTACCAGCCCCTACCAGCTCCTACCAGCCCCTACCAGCCCCTACCAGCTCCTACCTACCAGCCCCTACCAGCCCCTACCAGCTCCTACCAGCCCCTACCAGCTCCTACCAGCCCCTACCAGCCCCTACCAGCCCCTACCAGCTCCCTGCCAGCGCCTGAAGCGGCTTCCGCGATTGTGGTAGAGGGTTTCTGGGCACCGTGTTCGACGTTCCCCCCCCCCCCTTCCGGAAGCTGGAGATGTTGGGGTCGACCCTGACGATGCCTGCTGCTGTATATTTGGAGTTTGCGTGTCTCTCTCCATCATCATCATCATCACGGTGGCTATGAGATGTTAACTACCTCGCCTGGTCTACAGGAGGTCGTGGGTTCGATCCCGACCCTGACAATGCCTGCTGCTGTATATTTGGAGTTTGTGTGTCTGTCTCCCCGTGGGTTTCCCCTCCACGTTTGGAATCGACGTCGCCACACGTTTAGAGTGTTTGGCTGCTCTACATTTTCACGATGCTGATGATTGACAAGCCACTTCGTTGAGCTGCTATGCTTGATAGCCGGGTCACTTAAGAAAAACAGGTCTAGCTCAGTGGCCCTTCCCGGGTAAAATAAAAATAGTTTATGTTCTTGGTTCTTTCAGTAAAGTCACGTAGAAGGGAAATAATAAAAATTAGAAAAAGTGGCGGTTTTTTTCAAATTTTCTTGCTGTGGTTTTCACACCTGATGATGATTGCTTGTGTTGCAATCGAAACGTCGTGAGAATTGTATTCTTTTATTTTTATTATTTTACTATTTTCCTTCTACGCGACTTTACCGAAAGAACCAAGAATATGAATCCCTGCAGTCACAAAAGCTTTACATCGGAGTTTAGTTTTATCTTCTTGGTTCTTTCGGTAAGTCACGTAGAAGGAAAGTAGTAAAATAATAAAAATAAAACATAATAAAATAATTATCACGACGTTTCGGCCACAACGCAAGCAGCCGCCCTCAGGTGAAAACCAGGTCTGTCGAGGCGACAGCTTCTGAATGAAACAGCACACGTGCTTGGAGCATATATATAAGCTTATATATGACATGTTCTTCACCTGAGGACGGCTGCTTGCGTTGTGGCCGAAACGTCGTGATAATTGTTTTATTGTGTTTTATTTTTATTATTTTATTACTTCCCTTCTACGTGACTTTACCGAAAGAACCAAGAAGATGAATCCCTGCAGTCACGCAAGCTTTAAATCGGAGTTTAGTTTTAGTTGAGACTGTTTGGGCAAGGGGGTGGTGTGGCCTTGGTCTCCCTAGCGGTGAAGTTTATACGCAACATATCCTCATTTGAGGCTAAGTCGACCTCGGGGAGGTCCAGGACCAGTGCAGATAATCGTCGCTGGTGTTGACCGTGAGCGGGAATCGAACTCTGTTTGATGGTCTCGTAGCGTTGCAGGCTAACCTACTGCATTACCGCTCCCCACACTCTAAACCTGAACTAAAAACTATTCTTCTTGGTTCTTTCGGTAAAGCCACGTAGAAGGGAAGTCATAAAATAATAAAAATAAAACACAATAAAATAATTCTCACGACGTTTCGGAATTCAGCATATTTATGGGTTTATGAATTCCTCTTGATATGCAAATTATTTTGTCAAGGCACCCTTTCCCCCCCTTCCAACCCAGCTTAAATATATGCTCCAAGCATGGTGCTGTTTCATTCAGACGCTGTCGCCTCGACAGACCTGGTTTTCACCTGAGGACGGCTGCTTGCGTTGTGGCCGAAACGTCGTGAAAATTATTTTATTATGTTTTATTTTTATTATTTTATTATTTCCATTCTACGTGACTTTACCGAAAGAACCAAGAAGATGAATCCCTGCAGTCACGAAAGCTTTAAATCGAAATATACTAAACTATTTTTACTTCACCGGGTAAGCCAGCTTTTTTATCAGAACGACCTTGCCATCACAAATGTTAGTTTCCAATGCGCTTTTGCGGCCGTCTGGAATGCTCTTCCTTCAGATGTTAGAAAACCATTGGGTGCTGTGCACTTTTAAATCATCTACATTGACAAACTAATTTCTTTAGAACTGCTTTGTGTTCACACCATTGGAACCTCATTTGCCAGTAGAAAAATATGATAATAGCTTTTTTACCCTTTTTTCTGGCAACAAAACTGACACCTTTTTGTATGACTCCTTGTAAAAAAGGTGTCAGTTTTGTTGCCAGATAAAAGGGTATAAAACCAATTATCATGCTTTGTGTTTAGTTTGTTGTCCTTCCGTTTAGGGCGGTTGGCTACGTACGGTGCGATAAAAGTTCAACGTGTACACACACACACGCGCACACACACACGCGCACACACACGTACATCGTGACAGCTGTTTGTCGTTTAACATTTGCCGCAGGCTCTCACGTCATGTCAAGCTGCCCGGCCCCTGACCCACAACAACAGCAGCAGCAGCAGCAACAGCAGCAACAACAACAACAGCAGCAGCAACAACAGCAGCAGCAGCAGCAACAGCAGCAGCCGACACAGACCGGCACCCCGGGGCCCACCGTGGAGCCGCTCGACTGCGGCGCCGACACCGGAGCCGGCCCCAACGGCGGCGGCGTGGACGGCCCCGGCGGCCCCGGCGGCGGCGGTGGGGGGGGCGGCGGGGGGGGCGGCGCGGTGGGCGGAGTGGTGGGCGGCGTGGTGGGCGGCGTGGTGGGCGGCGTGCTGGTGAGCAAGGACGGGGGGGGTGCCGCGGCCTGCGAGCTGCTTCCCCGGCGCTCGTCGCACGTCAAGGAGAAGCGCTACAAGTGCGCCGACTGCGGCAAGCTCTTCCGCCAGTCCACCGACCTGTTCCGCCACCAGTCGCTGCACACGGGCGAGCGGCCCTTCCAGTGCGACCAGTGCGGCAAGAGCTTCGCGCTGACGCGGGACCTGGCGCGCCACCAGCGCACGCACACCGACGAGCGCCCCTACGTGTGCGAGCAGTGCGGCAAGAACTTCCGCCTGCCCGAGGATGTGCTCAAGGTGAGGGGGGCGGGGGGCGGGAGGGGGTGGGTGGGTGGGGGTCACGGGGATATCACGGTGCTGGTGACTTGAAATCAGGGTGGTGATGGTGATTGAGATCAGGGGTGGTGGTGGTGAGATCAGGGTGGTGGTGGTGGTGAGATTAGAGTGGTCGTGGTGGTAACAGAAATCAGGGTGGTGGCTGTGAGATTAGGGTGGTGGTGGTCACTTGGATAATGACAATAAATGATTCGGTGCACGGCACAATCGCCGTTCTTCTCGCTGCTGAGCGATGGGCACGTAGAAATGCGTTACAGAGACACCCCAGTAGTGGGTGACGTTGCTACCGTTTCATGTATTAATCTTTATAAAGTAAAAACAACTTTAATGTTACCAGGTTAGGCTGCGTGGCTCTCTTGTCAGAAGCCCTGTGAAGTGGCTTGTCGTCACGTGGAAATGCAGAAATACGTGTTGGCTAAATGTGGAGAAAAAATCGGAGAGAAATCTACGGGACCACGGGGGGAGAGAGAGAGAGAGATGCAAACTCCAAATGTACTGCAGGCGTCCGTCAGGATCAAAGCCAGGAGCTCCTGTGTGTACCAAGCGAGGTAGTTAACGTCGCCTAGCCACCGTGAAGATGAGAGAGAGAGAGAGTATTTACAATTCCTTGTGTTCTCTTAGTCTCTTGCTTATTATTTGTGTTGACGGCCCAACATACTCCCAAACACAACTGTCGGCAGTGGCAGAAGACGCAAGTACACTCAATTGAGTTTTATAATGTTGAAGTTCTGTGCAAAACTAGTTACTACTGGCCAAGACTAATTAGATAATCTATCGAAATTGAGAGAAAGAAAAATTATTTTCACCGTTCGGATAGCTACAGACTTAGTGCTGCTTGTAAGTGAATCATCAAAGAATGCATTGTCTACATGCACGCCTATACAGGTCACCATACGGCAGTGCGGAATGCCTGTGAGCAGACAATCAGCAGGTACTGCTATTTTAGTGCACACAAACGACAGCTGGTACACGAACAACAATGTGCACGTGTAATGTACATTGTAATTCATAGGCAATCATTAATCCCCACCCCATTAAGCACAAGAAGGGCTTACACGTGACACCTATCCCTCTATTTAAGGAATTAAACAGGAGGATTTCTCCACAAATCTGGCTGCCGCCTGATGATGCCATTTGCAATTACCGGCGAAACGTTACGGTAGTCGGATGGTGAATGTTATGGATTTGCTCTCCAACACAGCCGGTGTGCTGTGCTAGTGACGAATTGGCGTGTTCTCTTTACGTGACGAAGCCTTGCAAATTGGCTGTGTCATTGTGGCGGGTGTAACAGCACATTTATATTTACGCAATCTAACCCAAAAAACCTGCATTATGGATAGCAATAGTGATTGGGTTAGTGCTTGGTGTTGTGGTAGTGATGGGCGTAGTGATTGGGTTAGGGGTTGGTGTAGGGGTTGTGATTGGGTTAGTGTTGGTGTAGGGTTAGTGATTGGATTAGGGGTTGGTGTAGTGATTGGGTTAGGGGTTGGTGTAGCGGTAGTGATTGGGTTAGTGTTGGTGTAGGGGTAGTGATTGGGTTAGGGGTTGGTGTAGGGGTAGTGATTGGGTTAGTGTTTGTGTAGGGGTAGTGATTGGGTTAGTGTTGGTGTAGGGGTAGTGATTGGGTTAGGGGTTGGTGTAGGGGTAGTGATTGGGTTAGTGTTGGTGTAGGGGTAGTGATTGGGTTTGGTGTAGGGGTAGTGATTGGGTTAGGGGTTGGTGTAGGGGTATTGATTGGGTTAGGGGTTGGTGTAGCGGTAAGGGGTAGTGATGATCGGGGTAGTGATTGGGTCAGGGGTAAACTCGCGCAGAGAACTGTCGACTCGCACCGCCACTTCGTTGGGCTTGTGATCGCCAGGCCGCTTCCAAAAGAGTTGCCCAGCTCCGTGTGCCTCACGTGGTAAAATAGAAAACATTGTTGAGTTGAGAAGCGGCACTCGAGGATACTGGGGTTGTCTCGCTTGTGGACCTCGCCGAGTCGCGACTTGGAGGTCATTCATTGGTCATTGACTTGGAGGAGTGTTAAAACTGTTTGACTATTTAAACTACTTTTATTTTAGGTTGCCACCTCACCGTGCGTCTGCCCTCTCCCTTCTCTCCCTTGTCTCCCACACGCCCCACCACCCACCGCCTCGCCGTCACCGCCACCACCGCCACCATCAACTCTGTCACCACGACAACCATCGCTGCCACCGCCACAACCGTCACCACGAACTCTGTCACTGCCTCCACCACTGCAACCATCGTCACCGCCGCTTCCACAACCGCCGTCACCGCCGTGCCCCGCGCGCCCGCCGCCCCGCAGCACCAGCGCATCCACACGGACAAGAAGCCGTACCAGTGCGACACGTGCGGCAAGGCGTTCCTGCGCTCGCACGAGCTGCTGAGTCACCAGCGCGTTCACACAGGTGAGCGGCCGTACCGCTGCGACAAGTGCGGAAAGACCTTCCGCTGGTCGCACAGCCTCATCGGGCACAAGCGCACGCACAGCGCCGAGAAGAGCTTCCACTGCCGCACGTGCGGAAAGATGTACAAGCACCGCGCCTCTCTGGCCCTGCACCAGAAGTCGCACAAGTCCGGCGCGCAGCCGGGCGGCGTGGCCGGCGCCGACGTGCGGGACAAGCCGCCCGCGTTTCCCGACGCCTCCCCCAACAGCTTCCACTCGGACTTCGGGCAAGGTAACGCCGATGGGGGCGGCGGCGGCACTGGCGGCGGCACTAGCGGCGGCGGCGGCGGCGGTGGCGGTACCGGCGGCGAAGGCGCCAGTGGGAACGAGCCGTGGGGGAGGAGAGGGGACGGGACGGAGGATCGGCACTCCGGCTGGAGGAGCCCGGCGGTGGTGGCGGCGGTTGTCGGTGGCGGTGGCGGTGGTGGCGGTGGTGGTGGCTGTGGTGGCGGTGGCCCATTCTGAGCAGCGGCGTCGTCGTTGACAACGCGCGCATTCGCCAAATGGACCCCGAGGATTTGATGCCCCCCCCCCCCCGCATCCTCTGGCCTTGCCCAGGCTTGCTACCCACCACCTGAGCACCGTCCTCCCCTCGCGAGCCGCCCATCCCACACCCCCCCCCACCGACTGCCCTGGCCGTCCGCTACCACCGCCGCTAACACCGCCACCGCCGCGTCCCCCCCCTCCCCTCGCCTCTCCCCCCTCCTCCTCCTGTAGAGAAGTCATTGCGCCGACTGTGCTGTTGATTATTGCTCCGTAGCACAGAGCGAGTCCGCCCAGCGCCTCCGTCCCTCTCCTCCTCCTGCCCTGTCCCCTCCACCCTGCTCCTCTCTCTGCACGATTCTGGGTGTCCTACTTGCTTCTCTGCTCTTCCCCCTGTTCCATCGCTATCCCTCTGCCCCCCGTGCCATCATCTGACCCGGTCACCTTTGCCCTGCGTCTTGCTCCCTGCCGTTCATCTCCCGCCCCTCCCCCCACACCACCCCCACTAATCCCTTCATCTGCCTCCTCATCCAGCGCCCCCCTCTGCACCCTATCCCGGCTACGTTGCACCCCACGCGGCTATGGAGGTGGCGGACGACGAGCACCCATCGCCCAATGCGGACGTTAGCCGCACGCCCACAGCGATTACACCGGCGGTCTTGCAGACTCCTCGCGCAGAGACCTACAGACTGCCATGGAGACGCACGGATTCGCGTAGAAACCCGCAGGCTCACCCAGAGACCCAGGGAACCTGCAGGCTAGCCCGGAGATGCTGACACAGACAGCAACAGGCCCGCCTAGGGAACCCGCGGACTCGCCGGAGACCCAAAGGCTCACCCAGAGACCCACAGGCTCACCCAGAGACCCACAGGCCAACCCAGAGACCCACAGGCCAATCCAGAGACCCACAGGCTCACCCAGAGACTCACAGACTCACCCAGAGACCCACAGGCTCACCCAGAGACCCGCAGGCTCACCCAGAGACTCACAGGCTCACCCAGAGACCCACAGGCCAATCCAGAGACCCACAGGCTCACCCAGAGACTCACAGACTCACCCAGAGACCCACAGGCTCACCCAGAGACCCACAGGCTCACCCAGAGACCCACAGGCCAATCCAGAGACCCACAGGCTCACCCAGAGACTCACAGACTCACCCAGAGACCCACAGGCTCACCCAGAGACCCACAGGCTCACCCAGAGACCCACAGGCTCACCCAGAGACCCACAGGCTCACCCAGAGACCCGCAGGCTCACCCACAGACCCACAGGCTCACCCAGAGACCCGCAGACTCACCCACAGACTCACAGGCTCACCCAGAGACCCACAGGCTCACCCAGAGACCCACAGGCTCACCCAGATACACACAGGCTCTCACAGACACACACACAGGCTCTCCCAGTCACACACAGACTCTCCCAGTCACACACGGACTCACCCAGTCACACACAGGCTCTCCCAGACACACACAGACTCACCCAGACACACACAGGCTCTCCCAGTCACACACAGGCTCTCCCAGACACACACAGACTCACCCAGACACACACAGGCTCTCCCAGTCACACACAGGCTCTCCCAGTCACACACAGACTCACCCAGTCACACACAGGCTCTCCCAGTCACACACAGGCCCTCCCAGTCACACACAGACTCGCCCAGTCACACATAGACTCTCCCAGACACACACAGGCTCTCCCAGACACACACAGACTCACCCAGACAGACACAGGCTCTCCCAGTCACACACAGGCTCTCCCAGTCACACACAGACTCACCCAGACACACACAGGCTCTCCCAGTCACACACAGGCTCTCCCAGTCACACACAGACTCACCCAGTCACACACAGACTCTCCCAGACACACACAGGCTCTCCCAGTCACACACAGGTTCTCCCAGATACACACAGACTCTCCCAGTCACACACAGACTCTCCCAGTCACACACGGGCTCACCCAGTCACACACGGGCTCTCTCAGTCACACACAGGCTCTCCCAGATACACACAGACTCTCCCAGTCACACACGGGCTCACCCAGTCACACACGGGCTCACCCAGTCACACACGGGCTCTCTCAGTCACACACAGGCTCTCCCAGTCACACAGGCTCTCCCAGACACACACAGGCTCTCCCAGTCACACACAGGCTCTCCCAGTCACACACAGGCTCTCCCAGACACACACAGACTATCCCAGTCACACACAGGCTCTCCCAGTCACACACAGGCTCTCCCAGACACACAGACTCTCCCAGTCACACACAGGCTCTCCCAGTCACACACAGGCTCTCCCAGACACACACAGACTCCCAGATACACACAGGCTCTCCCAGACACACACAGACTGTCCCAGTCACACACAGGCTCTCCCAGTCACACACAGGCTCTCCCAGTCACACACAGGCTCTCCCAGACACACACAGGCTCTCCTAGTCACACACAGGCTCTCCCAGACACACACAGACTCTCCCAGTCACACACAGACTCTCCCAGACACACACAGACTATCCCAGACACACACAATACTCTCCCAGACACACACAGGCTCTCCCAGTCACACAGGCTCTCCCAGACACACACAGACTCTCTGTCACCCACAGGCTCTCCCAGTCACACAGGCTTTCCCAGTCACACACAGACTCTCCCAGAAACACACAGACTCTCCCAGACACACACAGACTCTCCCAGTCACACACAGGCTCTCCCAGTCACACACAGGCTCTCCCAGACACACACAGACTCTCCCAGTCACACACATGCTCTCCCAGTCACACACAGGCTCTCCCAGTCACACACAGACTCTCCCAGACACACACAGGCTCTCCCAGTCACACACAGACTCTCCCAGTCACACACAGGCTCTCCCAGTCACACACAGGCTCACCCAGAGACCCACAGGCTCACCCAGAGACCCACAGGCTCACCCAGAGACCCGCAGGCTCACCCACAGACCCACAGGCTCACCCAGAGACCCGCAGGCTCACCCACAGACTCACAGGCTCACCCAGAGACCCACAGGCTCACCCAGAGACCCACAGGCTCACCCAGATACACACAGGCTCTCACAGACACACACACAGGCTCTCCCAGTCACACACAGACTCTCCCAGTCACACACGGACTCACCCAGTCACACACAGGCTCTCCCAGACACACACAGACTCACCCAGACACACACAGGCTCTCCCAGTCACACACAGGCTCTCCCAGACACACACAGACTCACCCAGACACACACAGGCTCTCCCAGTCACACACAGGCTCTCCCAGTCACACACAGACTCACCCAGTCACACACAGGCTCTCCCAGTCACACACAGGCTCTCCCAGTCACACACAGACTCGCCCAGTCACACATAGACTCTCCCAGACACACACAGGCTCTCCCAGACACACACAGACTCACCCAGACAGACACAGGCTCTCCCAGTCACACACAGGCTCTCCCAGTCACACACAGACTCACCCAGACACACACAGGCTCTCCCAGTCACACACAGGCTCTCCCAGTCACACACAGACTCACCCAGTCACACACAGACTCTCCCAGACACACACAGGCTCTCCCAGTCACACACAGGTTCTCCCAGATACACACAGACTCTCCCAGTCACACACAGACTCTCCCAGTCACACACGGGCTCACCCAGTCACACACGGGCTCTCTCAGTCACACACAGGCTCTCCCAGATACACACAGACTCTCCCAGTCACACACGGGCTCACCCAGTCACACACGGGCTCACCCAGTCACACACGGGCTCTCTCAGTCACACACAGGCTCTCCCAGTCACACAGGCTCTCCCAGACACACACAGGCTCTCCCAGTCACACACAGGCTCTCCCAGTCACACACAGGCTCTCCCAGACACACACAGACTATCCCAGTCACACACAGGCTCTCCCAGTCACACACAGGCTCTCCCAGACACACAGACTCTCCCAGTCACACACAGGCTCTCCCAGTCACACACAGGCTCTCCCAGACACACACAGACTCCCAGATACACACAGGCTCTCCCAGACACACACAGACTGTCCCAGTCACACACAGGCTCTCCCAGTCACACACAGGCTCTCCCAGTCACACACAGGCTCTCCCAGACACACACAGGCTCTCCTAGTCACACACAGGCTCTCCCAGACACACACAGACTCTCCCAGTCACACACAGACTCTCCCAGACACACACAGACTATCCCAGACACACACAATACTCTCCCAGACACACACAGGCTCTCCCAGTCACACAGGCTCTCCCAGACACACACAGACTCTCTGTCACCCACAGGCTCTCCCAGTCACACAGGCTTTCCCAGTCACACACAGACTCTCCCAGAAACACACAGACTCTCCCAGACACACACAGACTCTCCCAGTCACACACAGGCTCTCCCAGTCACACACAGGCTCTCCCAGACACACACAGACTCTCCCAGTCACACACATGCTCTCCCAGTCACACACAGGCTCTCCCAGTCACACACAGACTCTCCCAGACACACACAGGCTCTCCCAGTCACACACAGACTCTCCCAGTCACACACAGGCTCTCCCAGTCACACACAGGCTCACCCAGAGACCCACAGGCTCACCCAGAGACCCACAGGCTCACCCAGAGACCCGCAGGCTCACCCACAGACCCACAGGCTCACCCAGAGACCCGCAGGCTCACCCACAGACTCACAGGCTCACCCAGAGACCCACAGGCTCACCCAGAGACCCACAGGCTCACCCAGATACAC